CTTAGCGGCTTTATTGCCTTGCTTGGGATGAAATTATTTTATATATATATATAATATTATATGAAAAGATTATTTAACTTTAAAAGTTAAGCCATTTTATCCAGATTTCAAAGTTTCTTGTTAAAATTTCCAATCTTCAAGGATTGTGGTTTTAAATGGAATATCCATTTTTTTTTCAATTTGTTCCATGTCTTTTTTAATCCAGTCTTTACTTCGTTTTTGTTGTAGCATACATACAGACAATAATGGGTATGTCCTCATTCACATAAATACAGTAGTAAATACTGTATGTTGGTCTGCAGTGGAAGATTCATTGTGAAATTCACTTGACTCACTTCTAGCAGTTGACTACTACTTCTATCTGCCGCTGGCAAATCTTATATGTGTTGTTCTTGTCCTAAGTATTATTGTTCATTACCAACCTTCATGTGATTATTCTATTCAGTAACCTTCCCTAGGTTACAACACTAATGAAATTTTCCTGTTTTTTAATACTTAGTTTTTGAAAGGCATCTTTCACTATCAAATTTCAGTGTTACACATTCTGTCCTCTGTTAAAATGCTTCCCAGATATTTAAACTGTCATGCTTACTTGATTTTGGTATCTCAAATGTGTAATTTGCATGTTGGGATCTCCCTTTTGCTGAAAATAATCAAATAAAACCAGCCAATTTGTTCATTTATTAACCAAATTTAATTTTCTCTTTGGTAAAGTGCAGCTGTGATGTTATTTACATTATTCTTGCTACAGACAATATTTATCATTTGTGTGATGAATGTAAATATAAAATTTTGAATCTAAAAAATTAATAATCTTCAAATTTAGTAATTTTTTTATTTTTATTATTTTTTTAAATTTAAATCTCTATTAATTCTAATCTCACCTTTAAGAAACTTCTGAATCTCTAACTGCAGTTCCAGTAATTACAGAAACAACCATCATTCTCTAATTCAATACTGGGACAAGTTCTCAAAGTTAGTTTTGATATATATATATATATATATATTATATATATATATATATATATATATATATATATATATATATGAAGAACTATAGTTTTAAGGTATGTTATATTTATGCTTGATATCAGAGATAGAGCATATAATATAAATATAAAGTGAACATTGAAGTCAACACTCAGAGTGACAGGGCGTTTTAATGCTGGATGCAATTGTCAGGTCGATTTATTGCATCCAGCATGAAACAGCCTGTCACCTCTGAGTGTTGCCTTCAATGTTCACTTTTTATATTTGTGTTAATCCTATATATATATATATATATATATATATATATATATATATATATATATATTTTTTTTTTTTGTTACACTCCAGCAAGCCTACTAGAACAAAGGGGTTTAGAGGAAGTGAAAGTGAAACGAGAATGATAATGGGGAGGATTCAGGAAAGAATAAAAGAGATTCATTGTGGAATTCACTTGACTCACTTCTAGCAGTTGACTACTTCTTCTACACGCTACTGGTGAATCTTATATGTGTTGTTCTTGTCCTAAGTATTATCGTTCATTACCAACCTTTGTGTGATTATTCTATTCAGTAACCTTCCCTAGGTTATAACAGTTTTGTACACATGCATATTGATGAATTTAACATTTTTTTTACATGCGTACATTCATGAAATTTTGCTTTTATTTACATCTTTCATTTTATCAGCTGTAGATTTTTCTTCCTTTTTTAAATTTTTCTTTGAAAGTAAATTTAATATTTTTTATGGCTTATATAGAAGTTGTTATGCTATATTATGTTCAAATATGTTTGCATATATTATGTGCATGTGTGTCAGAGAAAGAGTAAAGTGAAGTAAGTAAAAAAAATCTGAATCAGATTAAGGACAGTAAATCTGATTCAGTTGGGACACAACTAAATAAACCAGTAACTATTGACTAACTGACCTAAACCTACTTTTATCACTTAGTTCAATGATAATAATGTAATTAATACCATCAACCAACTACCAACAGCACACCTACAAAGACTGATAAACAGACCTATTTAAAGACGTCTTATTTTCTAGGCTACACGTTGCAACACATTACTAATATGCAAAATGCTACATAAAATTTTGGGAATTGGAACGGATCAATCATACTATATACTTGCTATGAAACCAAAACATAAACCTAAAAACTTTAGTCATGTTCTTAAATAACCTCGTCAGATCGAGAATTTCATGCAGATGCTATGCATGGTGCCAAATCTGTTCAGAAATATCTAAACTGTCAGCTGTATACAACCTCCTTCCTAAGATCAATGGTGAAAAATGGCTTTGAGCAAATAAAGCCTGAGGACAATTTTTCTTTGAACATTGTGAATTGGCACTACAGTGTCATAAAGAACTATACCAAATAAGAGAAACAACATCACTTGAGGACTACCAACAGCAGCAACAACTGAAATGGATAGCACATGTAACTCAAAGACAAAATAATGACATAATCAAAATGTTGACATCCCACACCACTTCAAATATAAAGTTTGGAAGGAAATCCCCATTAATACTGGAAAGAGCGGTAAAAGCTCCTGGACTTGAGAAACCTGTTTTCTTAATTTTATAAATTTCAGCTGAAAACAGTACTAGCCACTTGGTCAATGAATGCTGACTATTTCCTTATAGGGAAATGGCTAATATTGCCGTTACCATTACTATAGAAGTTCATTAAAAATCAGAAAAGAATGCATTGTCAGTAATCAGGAACCAGTCAAAGTATTGCTGATAGAATAAGACTATTATGTATAAGATATACAAAAAGTAATACCTTCTATTTATAAAACCTTTTTTATATTGTTTACATTTATACAAGTCCCAAGAGCAACTCAAGGTAGAGATTTACTGAAGGAGTTTGCTGTGTGAACACTAAGAGTAAGAGGTGAAATTTATGAGAATATATGAGAAAGATAATGGTAAATCCTAGACTTGAACAGGTTAAGATTTTAGTGGTCAGGGAAAACATCCTCTTGTGAGTCAGTTCCACAAAGTAGCTTTTCATGGGAAGAAGCTGTTTGAGTGGAACCTACAACAGATACAGGGAGCAAAATGACACAGTTGGATAGAGCAAGTTTTCTGCTACAAAACACTATTTTCTATAGTCATTACTATTGGTAAAGCATTCTTTAGGCCATCTCCATTTCGTAGGTGGACAGCTGTGCAGGGATGCCTAGAATGTTGCTTGTCATGCATATTGCTGAAACACATTAACTACTGCCTAACTGTGCTCACATCCACTGTTTCGTCTCTGTAAACATTCATTAAGCATTGAGGAACATCAATGGGTGTCATTTTTTGTACATACAATAATTCACCTTTGTTTCATATGCACTTTCATGTCAGATGCTATTTTCCCAGATTGAAAAAAAATATAGGTTAAAAAATTCCTCCTCCAATGCCATACCAACAACATCCATTCTGATAGTGAACATGAAAAAATACAAGCCATTACTTTTGGGGCGACCCTCGTATTTAAATACACTGTTAACAAGTTCACAAATGACTGGAAAGCAAGAAGCTGGAAGATAGTTCCATAAGTGAGAAGTGAGAGAGAAGAAGAAACTGTTAGCATAGGACTTACGGTTGTATCTAGTAATTTCCATTGTAAAATGATAGAACTATTCTGTCAATCTAGAACTGTGCTTAAATTAATAATGTCTAAGTATCATCAGAACATTTACTTTAAAAGTATTTATAGAAAAGGCATAGGTAAGTGACTGAAACCAAAATCCAGGTCATGACCAATGACATTGAAGATTCTTCTTCAGATTTTATCAAAGACATCTAAATATATAGCAGGAGCCCCAGACCAGAGGCAGCAGTAAATGGTACATGTAAGAGATTCAATCCTCGTGTTTTCATTAGTTGGCACAGAGACTTCATTATACACAATCATCAGCCAATATGTAATTTATATAATTACAATCTACATTTTTTAAATTTCTACTTAATCGACAATTAAGTAAATTACATACCAGATTGTGTAAGCAAATATATAGATATAGATCCGACAGTATGAAGAAAAATATTTGGAAAAACAAACATCGACATTGAAACAACATTAAAACAGCATATTTGCATATTTGGATTTTTGTTTTTCCATATATTTTTCTTCATACCAAATTGTATTACAAAGCGTTCCATAATTATATGCAATCACCATTTTTTTCAGTCATATCTTTATCTTTTTAATGTGATTGGCCCTGATCTGACATCTCATTTACAGTCGCTCTCTCACAGACATGTTGTAACTTCCCTCTGTCTTTTCTACAAACTGGTAACTGCTCTGTTGAGCTACTTTCACTGGTTCCTAAATTGCATGAATTTAAACGTGCTTCTAGGTTGGCATCTCAGTCCCATCCTTTTATTGTCAAAACGGTTAAATGTAGCCATCTCTTCTACCCCAATAGCTTCATGTCTTGCATTTCCTGTCTGTGGAATTTCATTCCTCTTACTTGCTTCCTTGATAGCTATAATCTCCAAATATTCAAATGCAATGTCAATTGACATCTCCAGATGTCTTGATCTATTCCTCGTCCTTCTCTTCATCCTTTCTTCTATCACGCATCTTTACTTTTGCTTCCATTCTCTGTAACCCCTTGAATGCTAGTAGCACTCAAGCCTTACTTGAGGTGTAATGCTTAAAAAAATAATGTCTTTTGCCATGAAGAAGCCATATTATCACATATACTTCAGGGCTGAATTTTGACAGAGGATTGATTGATTCATTCATTTTCTATGGCTTATCAACCCTTTGCAGTTTATTTAAAGCCAGATAATATTTTTACGTTGTAGGATTTTTTTGGGGGGACATTATGGTTTAGTGATACAAATTTTACTAATTAACCCAAAGCTAGGTGGATGAAGAAGTGGATTTATATCTTTCCCAAGGGTATTTGCAAGTAATATAACAAACCCAATGGGAATTGGAACCCAGCTCACTGATTAACAATTCCAAGCCATAATTCATTACACTGCCAGCACATTAATTTTACAGCTCCTGATATTCCCAAGTGGTCACCCATCTAGATACTGACCAGGTTCAATGTTGCTTAACTTCAGTGATCATATGGAAACTGGTTTTTCAAGGTGATGAGGACATAAGCCATTGACAGAAGAGGCTCCATTAATTTAATAAATAGAAAATTTAATGTCTTATACATTATGGTGACATGTAGAAATTCATTCCAATGAAACATCTTTCATGTTCTGTTGCTACTGGGATTTCATTTATAGCCATTATTAGCTGCTGAAAATCTGATTTTTCTTGAGATTCCTTGGATTCTCTGGGGACTTTCGTACAAAACTAATAATTTGAGCGAAACTGTTCTACCATTTCTTCTACATCATTATTCCCAAAGGTAAAACATGAACCTTTAAGAATAGTGTTAATCCTATTATAATTGTGCTTGCCCCACCTTTGTCCTTTCAATACCTTATAAATAATGGACTATTCCACATTTTGATCGTGTGGAAAAGAAATTACTTGGTTTCAGTGAGAAAATGAAAACAAGAAGAGAAGATAGAAGTGGCGAGAGAGAATCAGATTAAGCTGATAAAAACAGTTACTACACTTTGATCTTAGCCAAAAGACTGAGAAGCAATGGTGACCGTGATTAAAGCAATATTTCTCAGAGAAACATTATTGAATGATGAAAACCAAGTAAGGCAATCACCAAAAATCCAATTACCATAAATTAAATAAAATAACATCATCTGCTGGATCATTTTTAAGTTATTATTAAGAGAAATATTTGTAAGACAGGGATTTGGCATGAATCTTGCCAATACCTCATAAATAATATACTATTCCATTTTGATCAAAGGCGAAAAACACAACTTGATTTCAGTGAGAAAAAGAAAGAAAGAAGGAAAGACAGAAATGTTTAATGATTATTCCAGTGAAATAGAAAAAACTGTCAATTTCAAATCTATTCATTTGTACCCACTTCTTAAAATAAAGACCAGCATTTATATCTTGATTATTATTGCAATATTTTTATTAAAGTTGTTAAGCTCAAATATTTAATGATGCAACAAAGGAATTTCTATAAATATTTGTTATCGTAGAATTCCCCATGAGCTTATTCAATCATTAACTTAAGAGTTAAGCATTAAGATTCATCAGAAAATTTAAATAGGAAAACTGAAATTTTCATGGGTCTTTCTAGTATCTAAATATTACAAATAGTTAAATAACTTTTTACATTTATTGTTGGCTGGCACCTTGGCTTCAATCACTTTCTCACAGATGTAATATACCTTCCCTGTGTGTTTTCTACAAATATTTTCATGACAATTGTTTTGAAGAGCTTTTTACTTTGGTATCTCAATTTAATAAATTTAACCGTAGTACTAGATTGGCAGTTAAGTCTCATAATTTTGCTGTTGAAATTACTAAGTATAACCTAAACTTGCACATCTCAACTGTGGAACTTCCTTCCAGTTTCTTTCTTCCTATCAACTACAATTTTAAATGCAACTTCTATTGTGTTAATTCCCCTTGGCAAAATGGCAGTTTGGAAAAAGGTAGACCTACACATGGCATTGCTAAGATTATTATTGCCCAATCATTGAGCTAGCCTCATATATATATATATATATATATATATATATGTATGTGTGTGTGTATGTATATATATATATATATATATATATATATATATATATATATATATATATATAGCAACCCAGAGAGAATAGGGAAGCCATCTTGAAGTGAAAGTAAGCAGAGTGGAAAAAGATGAATCCAGCAGAATTTAACAACTTCATTCATAATCTGTCTCCTTCAATCCTGTCCTTTCTCCTCAGTAACATTTTCTCAGTTTCTCTGGAAAACTTTTCTTTCATCCTTAATAACTATGCATCTTAGTGACTTTATTACCTTGTTTGGAATGTAAAGATTAAAAAAAATTGTGTATTCAAGTATTTTGGATTTCCTAGTATTGATGAAACTTCTCAAAAATATGTGTCTATTTCATGGTGTTCTTTACTAAAGCCCAAGTTACAGGGCATCTCTTGCCCAGAACTGGATGTTCATATCTTATCATTCCACTGGGAGCAAAGATTTTTTATTTTGAGTTTGTGTTTACAGTATTTCACTGCTGTAGTTGGCTTAAGAAATTCAAGGAAATTTTTATTTTTACTCTTGTAATAACTTTAACTTATTTGAAGTAAGTATAATTTAGTTATTTTATTTTCTTTGAAATTGTTACATTGCTTTATGTTTTCATTGTAAAACAAACTTTTCTGTGTGAAATTCATTAAAAAATGTAATTTAGGAAACTTGCTTGGTCTTGTTACTTGGAAATTAATTTAACATTTTTCACTTAAAGTTAATTTAATATTCTTTGCGGTTAAATTTTTATTCATAAAAGTAAATGCATTAATGATCAACTTTATTTATTTTTGCATAATTTTTATTTTACAAATGAAAATACTACATTAAATTTTTACCATTCTTATTACACTGAAATGTAACATTTTAATTTTACTTGATTTACAGAACTAATGACATGGCCTTTAGTAAAAAAAACACCATGTTTTATATATATATATATATATATTAGATATTTTAGCAACTCTCAAATTTATTCCATTAAATATCATTTGGTTTGTCACTTTTTCCTTTTGAGTATCATGGCTCTCCACAGCTTTCTGTCTTTTGTAGCTCTTAATAAATTTTGTCTTTTTGTTATCACTTCTAAACCTTGTTCCTCGATCCATTTACACAAGCTCATTAGGTTGGGTGTGCATTGATTTCCTTTATGTCTCTTGCCTTCAATATGTACTGTGAGTATCAAATTTTCCAAACCTTCTTTCCTCATTATGTGCCCTAGAAATTTCAACTATCTCTTTTTGATGCTAAGTATAAATGTCCTTTTTGTTTCGATTTTCTCTAAAACTTTGTTGTTGCTCACATGTTTAGTCCATGGTATTCTGAGCACCCTTAGGTAAAACATTTTTGTTGCTTGAAGTCTCTTCTTTATCTATCAACAGATTGTCCAGCATTCTATGCTATATTATGTAACAGTTCAGTACAATTTTCTTTCTTTCTAACGGAATTTTCCTGTTTCTTAATTGTTTGCTTGACTTTTGGAAGGCATCTTTCAGTATATGTCAATGCACCTTTGGATTTCACTGTCACACTTTCTGTTCTCTGTTAAAATGCTTCCCAGATATTTAAATTGTTGTACTTGCTTACCTAGTTTCTCTATTTGACATTCAAGAAATTTGACAGTTCATTTCATTTCTTCATGCACTTCACTGAGCATACAATTTTGGCCCTGCAGTTAAAATGAAAGTTCAGATAATTTTTGTCTGAATTTTTGGGATGAGGAGTTATAAATAGTGTAAATAGAAAGTTTAGATGTCTCCAGTTAACTGTCCATCAACAAAGACCAAATTATTTATGGTTATTTTTTAATCATAACTTAGACATGACACAAGGCCTAAAAGTATGGGGTACTTAGTGAGGATTGAACTCACTTTTCAGTCATAACTGACCTAGTGAGACAAGCTTGCAAACCATTACACCATGCTGAGGTGCCCAAACCCAGATTATTTATGAAAGCTGTTGATTCTAATATATTTTTCTGTCCTTCATATTTTGTCCTCTCTGCACTAGGTCTTCAAGAAACACAACTTGCTATCCCAAAATGCTCACAAATAGCTTTAAAAGACTAGCACATTGCCTTTACAATTTAATAAGACAAAGAACCAATCATATACTGAAAACACAATCAATATTCAACAGCTGACAGTGAAGAGCATCAGTGAATGAAGTTAACTTATCCTGATGTACGGGTGGTGCAATGGTAACGGAAACCAGTGTCCCAAGTTCAAATTCTGGCCATTTGTTCATTTTGGGTTTGGGTTAAATTGACTGAGCTCTTTAGCCATATTTGGCAACCAGTCTAGAAGAAGGATATCTCTGAATTCAAATCCAGATTGTAGCTTATGTAACACACATAGCCATGGCAAATATTATGAAGTGTACAATTAAATGTGATACAGGGTTGGGAACTCTTTGATTATGTAAATTTATTTATATCAATTCTATGATCCTAATTATATAAATTTATGCATATCATCACTTTGATCTTGACTATATAAATTTATACATATCAATTCTTTGATTCAGACTATATTAAAAAAATGAATGAATAAAAAAAAAAAACTCATCCTGATTCTTAGGAGATGGTGAAGAGAATTATTCACAGAATATTTGAAGATTATTAAAACATGAAACTTCATTTATAGCATCACCTACATTGACTTCAAATCTGTGACTAGCACTGTGCATTGGAGAAATCATTCAGAAAATTGTTTTGCAACCCTTCCATTTTCATTCTAAGATTACTGTAATGTTGTAAGTGATTTCACATTTTCTCATCAGAATATATATTGCACATTTATAAATCTACCATTTGTTCATACATTGAATATTGCTGCCATATCTGGTCTGGTGCTCCTACTATATATCTCGAGATTCTTGACAAAATTCAAAGAAGAGTCTGTCATGTAATGAATCCTGACCTGTCATCTAGACTTCAGTCACTTTCTCACCAATGTGACATGGTTTCCCTCTGTCTTTTCTACAAATATTTTCATGGTAATTGTTCTGATGAGCTTTTCTCCTTAGCCTTAGGGCTTCAACTGCATGAATTTAAGCATGCTACAAGATTGGTAAGTAGGTCACATTGTTTTATTGTTGAACTAGCTAGAAGCAACCATCTCTTCTATTTTAATACTATCTTTTCTCGTACTTCTCACCTGTGGAACTCCTTTCTGATTCCTTGCTTCCCTGCCATCTACAATCTTCCAAAATTTAAATGCAACCTCAATTACCATCTTCTGTCTTCCGGAATCCTGTTCCTTTATTGACGTTTCTCTGAAGTGCCTGAGCCGAGATGCTAGATCAGGACTAATAATATTGCAGACTCTTCTTTGTATTTTATCAAGAATCTCTAAATATGTAGCAGAAGCACCAGACCAGATATGGCAGCAATATTCAATGCATGGATGAATGGTAGACTTATAAATATGTAAGATAGATTCCGTTTGTAGAAAAAACGCCCAGTTGACCGGAATCTA